CTGACACATGGTAAGAACTCAATGGCAGCTACTACTACTATTATTATTATCATAATTATTTATAATATTGAACAATGTAGCTGGGTGGAACAAGACCATGCATTTGCACTATTCTTTGCAGTTTATTAAAAGTTCTCATAATATATTCTTTCATTGAATGTTTCATAACCCTAGGGCTTAGGGATAATCAATTTTACAAATGAGAAACTGAAAAGAAGTTTAATGTCTCCCTGTATTAGTCAGCTTGCACTGTCATAACAAAATACCATAAACTGAGTGGCTTAAACAACACAAATTAATTTTCTCACAGTTTTGGAGGCAGAAGGTCCAAGATCAGAGTGCCAGCATGGCTGGGTTCTGGTGAGGACTCTCTTCCTGGCTTGCAACTGCTGTTCTCACATGGTAGAGAGAGAAATAGGAAAAGAAGGAAGGATGGAGAGGGACAGGGAGGGAAAGAAGAAGGGGGAGGCAGTGAGCTAGAGCAAGCTCTCTGGTGTCTCTTCTTAGAAGGACATTAATCCCATTATGAGGGCCCCAACTTCAAGATCTCATCTAAATCTAATTATCCCCAAAGACCCCATCTCAAAATACTATCATACTGGGGGTTAGGGCTTCTGCATGTGGATGTGGTGGTGGTAGGGGTACCATTTAATCCATAGCATTCCTCCTCCCCCCTTTCAAGTTTATGTGGCTCATAAGTGGCAAAACCAGAAATTCAATCCGAGTTTCTTGACTCTAAATCTTGAACTCTTGTCCTAAAAGCAGAGACATTTCATATTATTTTGAAACTAATTCAGTCAGGGCTTTCATCTGTCATATTGGGTACTTGTTATGACAGACACCCTTTAAATGGAGATCTTAGTGTTTTCCACTTACCTGGCTCTTACAGAAATTGGATTTAAGAGTATTTCTTCCCTGGTAGCACAGAAGTTTCTTTATAAGTACTAGCTAACTCAGGAGTTGCCAAAGGACCATCAGGTTTTAAGATGCACAATAACTTCAGGAATTATACATATTATGGAAAAGTAAAGTTATATGAATTGAGGTTTTGGTTTTCTATTTAGCCTACTTAATATGATATTTTAAACAATTCTTAGATATACTGTGGTTTTTCTTGGTGACCAATGAAGTTCAGAAGAATTTCATTTTTCTTCCTCATAAAAAGCAGGGAAGCAAGGATTTTATTTTCCTGGAGACTTGAACTCCCAATGCTTTTTACCTCCAGTTGAATATAACAATACCTGCTGTAATTCAAGTAAAAACAGAGGCTGTCCCTTGCTCTTTTTTTTCTCCTATAGACTCTTGCTGTTTCAGATTTTAGGGTTTATTATTTTGTACTCAGTTGTTATGTTTTAAAGGGAAAAAATGATCTTGAAGAGTTTATTACACTTAGAGTATTGGCTCTTGAAATTTTTATTTCTATCTTACTTTGTTCCTAAAGAGAAAAAAGACCCATATGTTTTTTACTGTAACACAACATTCTAGCAGGTCATTCCTGGAATATCCCAGGGAAGGTTTAAGAAGATTTCCATATAGCAGAACTAGTATCTTTTTTAGAAGTCTGGTGAACAACGCAACTTCTAGTAAAAGAGCAAACTCAAGGTCTACAGAAGGTCTGACAAGCTCCTTACTCCAGCTCCCTGTGTTTACTGTCGTACTATTTAGGAAGTGCTTTAAGCAATTTAAGGTGGTTGCTTTTAAATGTTGTGGGGGTACAGAGTGAGTCACCCCAAGATGTGCCTCTGTGGTATGCAGATTGTTTTGAGCTAAAGGCAGCTTTAGCCACAGGCTCAAGAGAAATTTCTCCCCTACCTCCCACTTAACTACCTAGAAACATTTGAATTACAGGCCTTGCCCATAAGAGATTATTAGAGATAACTTCTTTTGGGTCAGATTATCCCGTATTGTGGGGAATAGTCTTGTGCATTATAGGATATTTAGCAGCATCCCTGGACTCTACCCCTGGATACTAGTACCTCACCCTGCGGTTATGACAACTCAAAATGTCTCCAGTGGGGCTGGTGGAGGCAAATCAGCTCTGATTGAGTGCTGCTGCTTTATAGCCATCTCCCCTTCCTGACTACTGGCTGAAGACTTCAGGCTCTCATACCAGACACAGAGCCTTACATAACCAAATCTCATAAATGTGAAAGGTCAAATCCCGAAAGAAATCCCTTTTTGTATATCGCTCTCCTAGTGGTTCGGCTTCTCTGACCAGATCCTGACTGACATCCGCCTCAGAATTTATTGAACCTTCCTGAGTCTCTCGGCCCACTTTGCTCCTTTTCTTCACCCCGTTATAATCTCCCGTACCAGCCCTACCCCCAGCCCTACCCCAACCTCAACCCGGTGAGGTAACACTGCCTTGGAAGACGGACCCTCAGGTCCATAGGAAGCAGGCTTGGCCCAGAAAGTAGATGCAACCAGCCACGTGGAAATGTAAACTCTGACCTTCATGCTGCCAGGGCTTTCAAGTTGCTGGCTGAACTGAGAGAGCTGAGGAGTCTCAGTGGGATTCAGGGCCACTGGGGATTTTATTGCTTTGTTGAGAATCTAAGCCTGAGGGAATAGTTATGGGCTATGTTTTTAAAACATTCTAACATATTATATACTTTTTCCAAGTGATTTGTATGGAAGTATATTGTGTATTTGAACCAATGAGAATAATTTGCTGCTCACCTAGTCCCTAGTTTCAGGAAACCTAGTAGAATTCAGTGTTTTCAGTAGTAAATAGAAATTATCAGCAGCTGGGATCAAAGCCTTTGTTTTCTGCTAGAGGGATGAAATACCTTTGAAAAATTGGTGAGAGTCAGATTGAGCTACGATAAGATAAATTCTATTCATTTTTTAGGTAAGTTTGATGAATACTGTGTCTGGTGTTGGGTACCTGGCATTCAATCAGACAGACAAGATCTCTGCTCTCATGGAGCTTACAGAAAAATGCACATTGCACAAACTATCATGTGGTCAAGTTCTATAAAGGAACAGTATGGCACCTAAGGAGAGGCCAAATATCGAAGGCTGGAGTGGTGAGGGATGGCTTTCCTGAGGGAGTGACAGCTCTGATGAGAAGAAGATGAAAGAGAGTTACAAACGGAGACAAGAACTGCCCTGGAAGAGGGGCCTTCAGATCTATAAGAAGCTTGCATGGCCCATTCAAAAAGCTGCAAGAATGCCAGAGTGGCAGAAGTGTGGTCGATAAGAGGAGAGAGGAGGAACATGAGGCTGCAGAGGAGGGAAGGGGCCAGATTGCTCCAGGGCTTATAGGGCACGTAAAGAGCTTTGCTTTTTTTTCTTAGGGCAGAGTCACTGAAAGGCTTGAAGTCAAGAAGTGGCTCGTTCTGATTTATAATTTTACGGTAAAATATCCCTCTGGCAACCTTGTGAGAAGGGTTAGAAAGGAACAAGCATGGGAGGAGGCTATTGCGACAGTCAGAGGAGTCCAGAAGAGAGAAGACAGAAGCCTCGGCAAGAATCATAGCAGTGGAGGTGGTGCCAAGTACTAGTACAAGAGTTAGAAACATCATTAGAAAGTAGGTGGGCTAGCACTTAGCATTAACTTTGAGGTGAGAGATGTATAAGAGGAAGCTATCGAGGAAGACTCCTGGTGTTTTTGTTGTTTTGTTTTTTAATCCTCACTTGAGGATCCCCCCCGCCCCCCTATTGATGTTTAGGGTAGAACAGAGGGAGGGAGGGAGAGAGAGTGGGACATCAATGTGAAAGAGACACATCAATTGGTTTCCTCCCACATGCGCCCTGGGGATCAAACCTGCAACCCAGGCACGTGCCCTTGACCAGGAATCGAACCCATGACCCTTCGGTGCAGGGCATGACACTATAATATAACCACTGATCCACACTGGCCAGGGCAAGACTCCTAGTTTTAGCAACCCTATGTATGGTGATGACAGAAAGGAATGTGTGGTATTTATGTCATTGCTGCCTTCATAAGCTGTCTACACCATGAGGATTGGAAGAATTAGCATTAATTCACCCCAACTCAGTGCTGAATCACTTTGCAAAATGGCACTCTACATTATGGGTATAATATCAAGAGTAACAGTGTTCTTTGGTCGTTTTTGATTTTTTGGTTGGTTCTATCCCAATGAGCATTTGATGAATCTAGTTTAGGTTGTACCTGTGAGTTGCAGTTTTTCAGTACTAGTGCAAAGATGGACCAGTAAAACCTGGTTTTGAAAGTTGGACACCTGAGATGTGAGCTTCAGGGAAGGCTGTTTCCCGGCAATATGGTAAAGTAGCATGTGCCATATTCAGGGCTCCTCTTCATGGTGGGCCTCTGCCACATGCTTGCTCCCACGGGGTGTCCATTTCCCCTCAATCAATGATTGAAAGAAGGTTTCCAGAAGAAAACTGTAACCAAAAGGATCAGAGCCCCTGATGGACCTTCAGACTACAGAAGTGAGAGCGAAGGTGTCAGATACTCCAGAGAGTTACTACAATACCTGAAAAAGGTAAACATGTACACGTAATCTTTTTGTATCATTTTGTACAGTTTTGTAAACTGATTCAATAGCAAATAGTTTGTACCACAGAGGTTCCTCACAGGTACTGTAGTTGGACCCATTTGCCAAATATTTATGCTAAATGTCCTGGTGGGAAAAAGAGAACGTATCACCAGAGAAGAATGAAGAGGAGAAAACAGGCTAGAACCCGGAGGCAGAGCCTGATAGACATCGTCTCTCTCCATCTCTGGAGTTGTGGTAAGGAACAGAGAACCCAAATTCTACACTAGAGTTTCCTGAAGTTTAACCACAGATCAACTGCATCAGACTCATCCCTCGGTGCTTTTTGAAAATGTCATTGTGTTAATTGGGTCCTCTGGGAAGCAGAGCCTAAGATGGAATTAGAAGAGCAAGGAGTTTATTGGGTAGCAGTGCCTGTGGAATATAGAAAAGGGAGGAAGCAGTGTTGAGTACAGAAAGGCTTTACACCACAATGCTCATCTGACACCTGGGATAGAAAGGAAAGAGGGAAGGAACCAGGATTCGGTAGTAGGTGCTCAGAGCATGAGGCAGATCTGGCAAAGTCTCAGCCAATCCAATGATGAGTTTCAGAGCAAAGATGCCCACTAGAGCCCCACATTGGGCAGGAATGGCCATGCCCGAATACCCCTGCCATACTTCGTCGCTGGGTGGGAGAGGAGTGTGACTCTGGCTCAAACACTAAGGTATATCCTGCAGGTGTAACAACTGGAAGATGTCAGCTGAGAGGGCTGCTCACAGCTGAGAAGCAAGTTCTTTTTGGAGGGATATTGAGCTCCCGACTTCCCTATGGCTGCCACGGCCAGTTTCCTCCACCCATCCTGGTCCTCCTGCATCAAACTCTCTGGTGATGGAACCCTAGAACCTGCACTGCGACAAGCTTGCCAGGTGATTCTGGTGCACCCTGAGGTGTGAGAACCTCTGTGAATCTGCATACATTCCATCATATGTCGTCCCATGATGCCACAGTTCATCTGACGATTCACCTAGGCCTAAATCCGTTAGACATGCTTTTGGTTGAAAAGAATAGAGCACCTGATAAGCAGAGGCTTAAGCCAAAATATATTTAAATATATCACGAAGCCAAAAGGTATTTAAATATATCATGAAACAGGAAGTCGGAAAATAAGTCATCCCAGGATTTGGTCCAAAAGCACAGTAGTATCATCAAAGACTCAGGCTCTTTGTGTCTTTGTGCCCTGCCCCCCTCAAGGTGAAAGCCTGCTTCCTTAAGTTTGCCAAGTCATCATCACAAATTGCTGCCACAGCTCCAAACAGTATATCTTCAAACATTTGGAGATTCAAAGCAGGAGAGAAAAGGTTGACAAGAGCTCTCATTTTGTCCGGGAGGAGAATCTTTCCCAGATGTGCGCCAACTGACTTCCTCATGTTTAGCAGGAGATCATGGCCACCTGTTGGTGCAAAGTGACTGAAAACATGAATGTCTAGACCAGGGGTGGGCAAACTTTTTGACTCGAGGGCCACAATGGGTTCTTAAACTGGACCGGAGGGCCGGAACAAAAGCATGGATGGAGTGTTTGTGTGAACTAATATAAATTCAAAGTAAACATCATTACATAAAAGGGTATGGTCTTTTTTTTTTAGTTTTATTCATTTCAAACCGGCCTGATCCAGCCCACGGGCCGTAGTTTGCCCACGGCTGTTCTAGAATCACCATAACTGGCGTAGACCATTGTAATACAATTCCTAGAGCTAGGGACACTGTCATCATCACAACCAAAACCAGAGTTATGTTAGTAAGAAATGGATCCTACCCAGAGCCCACAGGAAGGAACATAGTCCTGCCAATATCATTTTAGCCTTGTTAGCCCCAAGTCAGATTTCTAACACACAAAACTGTACGATAATAAATTTGTGTTATTTAAGCCACTTTGTTTATGGTAGTTTGCTATAGCAGCGTAGAACAATGATACAGGATGCTGGAGGGAAGAACTTAGAAATTCAGATAGTGAACTTGAGTTTAGGTCAAGGATATGGCCATGTGCCCTGACCATTGTTGCTCAGTGGTTAGAGCATCAGCCCATGCACTGAAGGGTTGTGGATTTGATTCCTGGTCAAGGACATGTATCTGTGTTGCAGGTTCGATCCCCAGGATGCATGTGGGAGGCAACCAATTGATGTGTCTCTCTCACATTGATGTTTCTCTCTCTCTCTCTCTCTCTCTCTCTCTCTCTCTCTCTCTCTCTGCCTCTCTCCCTCTTCCCCTCCCTCCTACCCTCCCTTTCACTATTTCTAAAAATCAATGGAAAAAATATCCTCGGGTGAGGATTAACAACAACTAAAAGGATATGGCCATGGGTGGAAGGGAGTCTGAGGTGAGTTGTCCACCAGGTTGTTGGAAGAAAACACCTCATAGAACTAGACAGTTAAAAACCAACATTTTGTCATGGTTTCTCTATCTAGGTCAAAATGATGTGGCAAATTGTGAATGTATTTGCGTTCTTTTGTTTGCTTTTTGTACTAGCAGGATACCCAGCAGAAACGTTTCCCTCCTCTTCCTGCAGCTGATCTTTATTAGAGTTTAGTGCTCACTGGTATAAACTGTGCTGCTCAGAATTGCATTAGGGGGAGACCTGGTCTAAATTAAAGCGTAACAAATGAGCACTGCTTACATGTCCTCACACCCTCCCTTCTCCACACACATCAAATTACCCTGGAAATGAAATGCAAAATAAAATGAGGAAGGATTCTGTTCTTCATTAACGTGTAATTATTAAGCGCTGGGGCTCCTCTGCTGGGTGGAGAAGTAAAGCCCATAGCAGGGGTGGAAATGCTTGAGGGTGGGACATCCTTTGCTATTGTTAACTATGGATGAGTGATTATTTCCACATCTTTACAAAGAGATGAATAAAGATGAAGACTTAATAAGATCTGTATTCTCGCCAAAACCGATTTGGCTCAGTGGATAGAGCGTAAGCCTGCGGACTGGAAGGTCCCGGGTTCGATTCTGGTCAGGGGCATGTACCTGGGTTGCGGGCACATCCCCAGTGGGAGATGTGCAGGAGGCAGCTGATCGATGTTTCTCTCTCATCGATGTTTCTAACTATCTCTCTCCCTTCCTCTCTGTGAAAAAAATCAATAAAATATATTAAAAAAAAAAAGATCTGTATTCTCTTATAGAACCACTAGTGGCCTAGTGCACAGATTCATGCACATTGAAAGGAAATTAATTAGAAGAAGTATTTTAATATCGATATACACCCTTTCTCTATAATAGAAGTGTCAACCAAAATCATGATTAGCAATGACAGATCAAAACACACTTGTGCGATTGGCTCCAGCGAGAGCTTTATATGTATCGCGCATGCGGGAGTCAACTTAGTCTTTTATAGATATAGAATAAACTTGCTTAATTAGACCTGCTTTCTGATTTAGCTAAATTTTTTCCAGCCCAGTGAAGCACCCCAACTTCTCTTTCAGGTAATTGTCAGCAACACAGCAGTAAGCATGAACATGAAGCAGATTATTATTGTAGATCACATAGGGCGAACAAAGGGTAAAATATTTAACTGCAGCAGTATTTGACTATATTCTGCGCAGTGAGAAAACCTGAAGTCATTTTCAAGTTCCACCAGTTCTTCTTTTCAGTCAGGTCAAGTTTCTAAACTTTCTAAATCTCCATTTTCTGGCTAATGAAAAGAAAATAGGATTCTACTGAGCCTTCTATCTACCTACTCCAGGACTTCTGTGAGGATCAAATGAGATGAGGCATGGGAAAACACTTCACAGACATTTGGTTAAAGTGTAAAATGTTTGCACCTGGCTATAAACCAAGTCATGTCCCTGGGCTGAAGAAACTCCAAGGAGGCTATGTTACTATGTGACGTCATTACCTGGTGCCCACAGCGACTGTTTCTGGGCTGGGCTGGGCTGGGCTGGGCTATGGGCCGCATTTTATGCCATGAGGTCTTGGCAGCATTGGCTGCAATTTGGTGGGCTGTCATTCCGGGGTGGTGGCAGGGCCTGTGTCCCACTTTGGGGAAGCTGAGTATTGCTTTATCGGCGCCAGGTCCATGGTGCTATTTGTTTGTAAATAGCCAGTGTGTTGACTGTCTGCCCCCTGGTGGTCAGTGCACATCATAGCGACCAATCGGATGGTTGGAGGGACACTTAACATATATAGATAATGATGTGAGGAAAGCAAGTGGGCAGGGCTGTTCATATTGCAAGAGTAGACTCTAAGTCTAGTCTCATTTGATTTGCCTGCCCTCACTGTTGTTTTTTGAATAAGCGAAGGAATTTAATAAGTAATTTCTAACTCAGCTTTATTCCTGATATTAAAACAGTCTTTTGTACAAAAGTATCAGAGATGATAGGAATGACCTTGATTTATTCAATTTATGTTAAAGATATTTGAAATCTCCACACTGGAAGAAGACAGAGGTCGTGCAGGGAACTGCTGGGGTTCCAGGATCAGACAAACTTAGTGCACCAGGCCAGCTGTGAGGGAAAGTCGTATTCTCTGAGGTTCTGTTTCTCTGTCTGTGTAATGGGTACGATAATGGTTTAACCAGCTTCACAGGGTTATTATGAGAACTTGATGAGGTTATTGATTTAAGAAAAAATCAAGTACCTGCACAGTGCCTGGTATATTGCTTACAGAAGAGAGGTTATTGCTATAATCTCTATTCTTGGAAGTGAAATATGGAAAAGAGATAGAACCTGTGTCCCTCATTCCATCTCCTTTCCCCCTGAACCCTGGCCTTCATGGATTAAATTTGATCTAAAATTTCACTGTTACCCTGACCAGTTAGGCTCAGTGGCTAGAGCGTCGGCCTGTGGACTAAAGAGTCCCGGGTTCGATTCCAGTCAAGGGCATGTACCTTGGTTGTGGGCACATCCCCAGTAGGAGGTGTGCAGGAGGCAGCTGATCGATGTTTCTCTCTCATCGATGTTTCTAACTCTATCCCTCTCCCTTCTTCTCTGTAAAAAATCAATAAAAATATATTTAAAATAAAATAAAAATTTCACTTTTAATAAGTCACTTCTTTCTACAATACTTTCAAAAATTATAAATAAGGGAGAAATACTAACTGGTTTTCTTAATATATATCATGATGAGTGAAATATCTGTAAAAATACTTTGGTAAGAAGATATACTTTTCCTCTGTGAGCTTATAAATATTCTTTAAGGATGGAGCTGTATTTTCCAATATGGTAGCCACTAGCCATGTGTGGCTATTTAAATTTAAATAAATCAAAATGAAATAAAACTAAAAATTCAGTTCCTTAATTATGCTAGCCACATTTCAAGTGCTCAGTAACCACATGTTACTGGCTGCCATTCTGGACAGAGGACATAAGAACATTTCTATCACTATTCTGTCCGTTCATGCTAATGGGCTTAAATTGGTATTCAGTATATACAGGATAGAAAGTAAAAGGGATGGGGGCACAGTGTTGAAAGACAAGGTGGGAAGGGAAGGAAGAGAAATTTTATTAATTTCATAAGTTTGTGAAGACTAATCCAGCATTTTGCTGTAATAAGAATACTGAACACCAAACAATATTGCCCATAAATTGTCTGTAGAGGGTGTGAGAAAAATAAAGATTTTAAAGCTATTGAAAATTTTAATGATGTATGTTATTTTGCATAA